AGGACCATCGGGTTTTTATTTTTTGACTGTGGTTTCTTGACCTTTTTGCAACAAGTGTCTAAAGAGACTTCTATTTTCTTTTTTATCTGCATTTTTCTAAACTTTTTTTTTTTTTTGGCCAAACATCTTAAATGTGTCTTATGTATAAAATATTTGTGTGCATTGCAAGAACAGATATTTTAATTGTTCAAGAAAGATAGCCCAGAACAATAAAGGTCTAGGAGTGGGGGGCCTGTGCCCTGGAAGAGATCCAGAGGATTTTGATTAGGGAAAATGACAGGGACACATGTAAAGCTGGCTCTTGGGAGGAGCATTGGGTTTATTCTGGGGTTGAGGAGAGTCAGGGGTAATTTAGAGTCTCTTCCACTGCTGAGAGGACAGTATCAGAGTTCAGGGGTAGGGCTGAAACCCATAGTGCATCTGAAAGTAGGACAGGTGGCTTGAGCCCATATGTTGCCTGGCAGGAGGTGTCAACAGAGATGCTCAGTGACTCATGCTGTTGCTGGTATAATTAGATGAGGAGGGTTCTGTCATGCCTTCCAATCATTATTTTTAGGACATCACAACTCAACATCAGCAGTGTATGTACCTGTGGGGAAGCAGTCTGTGAAGGGGTCAAGGAAACCAGACTCAATATCTGGGTGACTGGGCAGAGGTGTAGCAGTACAGCTGAGATAGACAGACACATGTGCACATCTGTGAGGGATTCTCAGCGCAACCACTGATTGTCAGACTCTCCTCTTTGTCTCTTGACTCCCAGCTACAGTAGTGAAGAGAACAACTTTTAAAATGGCAATAGACATTTCTTTTAAAGCTGGTTTTGAATTATCTTCTCGAGATGTGAGGATCTGAATGGAAGTCTCTCTAGTACCAGATCCAGGGACATCAGCTCTGTTGAAAGGGTAGAAGCTTTGTGGTGACAGCAGGCTTTGGTGTGCTCTCAGTGTGCTGTTCAAGGTGGTTTCAAAGAATTCCTTCACTACTGATCCGATTTGATGGGCTTTTGGAGGCCAGCTGTGTTCCAGTCAGGATTCCTCAATCAGCTGGTCTGAATTGCTCCTGAGGCCATGTGGAACCTTTCACAGCCACCTTCTTCTGTGAAGCTGGAAGTGCAGCCCCTGGCAGAAGGGAAAAAGGCGGGCCCTTTCCCAAATGACTCATATCTCCAACCCTCCCCATTGATCTACCTTGACAACTCCAAGTCTTAGTTCAGGTGCTCTGGAGACCACTCTGAACCTTCCTGGTTGTTCTGAAATTATTTATTCTATATTGCTTTCCTCATCTAGAACAAGGTGAATTTAGTTATTCTTTTCATGCACACAGTATTCTTTTAAAGTATCTGTGGGTTAGGGTCCATGCCTAATATTCATGTCTATGTGTTTAAGTGGTTTGTACATAGTAGGTACCCAATAAATGTAGGTTGCTCATCACATTACTACTAAGGATGTTTGCTAACATTACTGCACTATAGACTCTGAATGAAGGTCTTTGCATAAAGCCTTTCAGTGAATCCATACATACTCACAAAATATATTTTATTACTATGATCCAAAAAAAAAAAAACCCAAAAAAACCTAATGCTTAAAGAAGGCAATTGCACCATCAAAACCACAGCTGACGTGTAATTGATTATCATATCCTTCTTGAACAATCTTTTAGAGAAAGAGCTATTTGGTGTTTGGCATTCAATTTTCCACATGGTAAGACCATTTTGCATCAGAGAAAATAATGCTTTATATTATGTAGGTGAAGTGGTAAACAGCTTAGTTCACAAAAGGGTCAATGGAGGATTTGTGAGGTCAGGGCTCTTGGCCCACCTCAAAGCTGGTGGCCTTTTGGCAGCCATGATGGTTCTGAAAGGTGGTGTGAGCTCAGTCAGGAGTGAAATGGTCTTGAGCTGCAGCAGGGACATTCATGGCTTTAGGAATACTGCATGTGGCCAGCAACCAATTGCTCTGCAGCTTTGAGAAAAGTTCCAAATGGTGCCAATACACACTGACTGGCACATCGCCTGATGAGAAATGAAGATGACAAAGAAGAAACATTGGATGCATTTGGGAAGCAGGGATGATTGTTTATTATCAAGAAGAAGCAAAGAAAAACACATTTCTGTAGAATAACTGGAGATGTGATGTTTAGCAATAATTTTCCTATTTAACTCTGCTGATATTAGAGCACAGATCTATAACCCAACTGCTCGCATTTTCGCAAGCACAAGGAACTATGGTCTCTGTGGGAAAGCATGCCAAGCTGTGTTTCAGGATCCATATCAGTACAGCTCTGAAGCTTTATAGAAATGGTGTCCTAATTCTTAGAGATTCTTCTGTGGGCTACATCACCACCCGCCAAGTGTGTTTACTGCTTAAGAGTAAACAATGGAAACAGGAAACAGATGCGGTATAAACATGATCCTTATGTTTTATTCCCACATTTCAGAAGGGCCAAGGTCTTAATGTGACTTCATGCCTCATCTTCTTAGTAGTTTAGCTGTCCAGGCTCCTCTTATTGAAAGATTATAGTTGTATATATAGGTATATATGGGGTACTAAGTGGTGGTATGACTTTTGATACAGAAAGGAAAAGGATGAATAGGAGAGGGGCATTCTTCAGTACACTTTAGATTTGTGATCACCAGCCAGCTGGCCCGCCTTCATAAACACGTTTGTCACTAATAACATGGGCTGTGATACAGAGAGCTTATCCCCATGTCAGGGAAGTGTACACAGTGCAAGGCCAAGGCCAGATTTTAGCAGCTGCGCCTTGCTCTTTCTCTGAGTTCTGGTTGGCCAGAATTAGCTGGGCTTTTCCTCTATTTCCTAATAGTACATCCACATCACAGAAAGACCCTTTGACAAATAAGGTCTTTCAAGGCCCGTTCTTCCTCATACTAGGGACAGGACATTAAATATCTTGTTGAGCATTATTCACTATAATCACTCCTCTATTATGAAGGGTATTGGTTACCATTTTAGGCCACAAGGTCACACAAATAAGTACTGTTTGGCTTGAAAATGAGGGCACTATTAACTGCTTGCTAATTTCTTTCTTTCCTCTGTAACATCCTCTTCCCCCTCTCTTCCTTTTTATGCTGTGCAGTTCATGTTTTTATGTACTAGCAATAAATTTCCAATAACTATTCAACCAATCTTGTACATGTGTATATGTTACACATGTAAGTGGTTTTCTAGATTTTGCTATCTGAAGCATTTCAGTTAGTGAGTATTTCAGTACCAACTTTTATGTTGATGATGTGTTGATTCTTTAGGCATAGCAGTTAAACAATTCAAAGGGCATTCTTGTCCTTGAGAATATCTATCTATCTATCTATCTATCTATCTATCTATCTATCTATCTATCTATCTATCATCTATCATCATCATCTCTATATAATCTATCACCTTTCTATCTGTTCATCTATCATCTATATCTACCTCTATCCATTATTCATCTATTATCTATATCTATCTGTCATCTATATATGTCATCTATTTTCCTATTTACTGTCTATATCCACCTATATCTAGCCACCTATCATCTATAGCTACATCTATCTACCTATCACCATTTCTGTATATATATATATATATATATATATATATATATATAACATATATACATATATATATATACCATCTATCTATCATTCTATCTATTCATATACCATCTATATCTACCTCTAACTATCCATTATCCATCTATTATATCTATCTATCTATCATCTATACATATATATCATCTATCTTACCATTTATCATCTATATTATCTCTATCCATCTATCATCATTATCTACATCTATCTATCTATCTATCTATCTATCATCTATCTATCTATCTACTATTATCATCACCTGTCTATCTAATCTACTATAGTTTGATTCCTTCAGAGAGTACCTTGCTATGTAGTTCTAGTTGGTCTAGAACTCATTATGTAGACCAGACTGACCTTGAACTTGGAACTTCTTTGTATCTCCGCATTCCTAGTGTGGAGATTATAGGCATTCACTGCCATACCTGATAAGAAGCTCAGATGGACTATTACTTTCTTAGTGTCTCAGCAGAAAACGTCTCGAGAACTTAAAACCTATGGACTGTGCTGACTCAGAAGATGAGAGCAAGACATTGTAGACATGTGATGGATAAACTAAGAAGATAAATGGGGTCCAATGAAGCCTGCAGAGATGAACAACAGCAGGCAGTTCTTACCATCTCTTATGGAGAGAGAGAGAGAGAGAGAAAGAGAGACAGAGAGAGAGAGAGGGAGAAAGAGAGACAGAGAGAGAGAGAATGAAGAGTCAGCCTAGAGGAATCAACTCATGTAAAATGGAATTCTGTTGAGTTCATTTGGTGAAAACTGGAACCATATTCAGCTGTGTTGGTGATACAATTCAGGAAGATGCTCCTTCTCCAGCTCTTGAGCATTCCTGCCTACTGCTGCTTTCTGCCACCATACAAACTAAGTGAAATTTTTTTAGATATTGTTTACTTACTGAGGTGAATGCTGACTGCTGTTCAGATACAACTCTTAGCTTTCAGTATTGTTTTTTGAATCTTTCTAAAAAAGATTTACTTTATCATTTATTTATGTGTAGGTATGTATGTCCCTGTGTGTTTATGTGCACATGTTTTTGGTACCTGAAGAAGCCAGAAGAGGAAATCAGATCCTCTGGGGCTGAATTTACAGGTGATTATGAACTATCTTGTGGTGATATATTATTTATGATTTTTTTGTTTCAAATGTCATTTTATTGCAAGATGGTATAACTAATTACAAGTTTAAATTATAACTTGATAATTTTAGTTGGGCAGCAACTTGCTGCAAATTACTTACTCAAAAGTGATCACTAGCCAATTCCAGATATATAGCAAAGATCAGAAATACCTGACTGGTCAATAGGGTTAAGTCACTAAATGAATCTCGATCATTTCTTAGGAAAGGTACACTGTAATTTCAATAGACAGAAATACAGGAAGAGTTCTTCACATGGACTAGTTCCCACTTAACTCTCTCTGGCCATTTCAACTGAGATAGATACATTCACATAACTGGCTGAGCTTGAGCCTTCTTTGCTAGCAGCTTTAGATCTACAATGCACTTGGCAATGGTCTCCTTTTCCTGCTGTGCAGAAATGCTCTGTACCACATGCTTCTCCACCCAGTCTATCATGTGCTCTTCCTCCTTTCGACACATCATATCCTGTACAGAAATATGGTAGTCCAGAGGATTCTTTACCTCCTTATACGCTCTATGTAGCTGATCCCGGTATGTGACTTCCAAGGCCAAGGCAATATTATTCCTCTGAACATCAAAAAGATAGTGGCGCTTCTGAACCAGAGCCTGCTGTGCCTTCTCCATGTCAGTTGCATCCTGTATTTGTTTGATGGATGATTGCTTTACTTCTTCTAGTTGTGCAATTTTTTCCTCATTAAGTTTATCAAGAAATTGTCCAATAGAAGCACCATATTTCTTAATCACATAGACCATCAACCCTACTACTGATATGGTAGAGAAGGTCTCTGGGGTAATCACATATATTTCTTTGGACAGAAAATATAAGGTAAGCCCAGTTCCAAGCATGTAGGGTCCTGTTACACCAGTTTTAGGGTAAAGGTACTGGAAAAATTCTTCAGGGATCAGCCAAAGCGTACTTTTCCTCCATATTCAGGAAGAGGTAGTAGAGGGGCAAGACTTGGTTGCCCTGTGTGAAAGACCCTTGTTGCCTGTAATACCCCTGGCCCCAGGACGCCCGCGTTCTTCAGACAGGGGGCCGCTGTGGCGGCGGCAGAAAGTACCACCCGGGACAGCATGGCCTGCTAAGATCCAGGCAGTGGTCTTCGTGTCCCCTGTGACCGCCCTATTTATGATTTATTAAAGCTTGCCTGAAGGTTCAGAAGCAAAGTCAGCCACAAGCTAGAGGTCAAGAGGTGGTGGCACACACCTTTAATCCCATGACTCAGGAGATAAAGGCAGATGGATCTCTGTTAGTCCAAGACCACCCATGGCTACATTAGAGTGAATCAGTTTATAAGAGAATTAGAGCTCACACCTTTAATCTCAGAACTCATGAGAGAGATTTAAGACAGGAACAGAGTCTCAGAGTTGTCATTCATTTTCTAGCCACATTGAGAATAGGAAGTTTCAGGATTCTCTAGCCATACTGAAGAGAGGCAGCAGTCTGAGGTTTGGTGGAGCCAGGATCGCTTTTCAGTCTCAGATAGAGTAAGAGCTAGTGACTGGCTGCTTTGTTTTTCTGACCTTCAAGCTTGAAATTTAAACCCCAATATCTGTCTCTGAGTCTTTTAATTTTTGTGTAACACCACCTGGCATGGGTCCTGGGAACTGAGTTCCTGTCCTCTGAAAGAACAGCAAATGTTCTTAACCACTGAGACCACTTTACTGCTCCAAAGATTTAAAAATATCGTGTGAGTGTGTGTGTGTGTGTGTGTGTGTGTGTGTGTGTGTGGTGTGAATGTAGGTGCCCTTGAAAACCAGAAGCTTTAACTGGATGCCCTAGAACTGGAGGTATAGGTGGTTGTAATCCATGGAAAGTGGGTCCTGGGAACTGAACTCTGGTCCTCTGCAATAGAAGCTGATGCTCTCAAACACAGGGCCCTGTCTCTCCTGTATTTTGCTGACTGAGCCTGGGAATTATAGCCTGCATGGATTAGTTATTGAGATTCCTAGTAGGGAAGGAGACCTGAGGAGTAGGTGAATGTAGGTGAATGCATAGAGGCTTGGGGTCACCACAGCAGGTAAATGCCACCTACAATTCTTGTTCTAACTCTTCACCTTTTCTCAAGATCAGTGTGTCCTCTGTAGAAAGACTTGCCTTTCTTTTTTCCCTCTTCTGTATATCTTTCTTTATTTAACATCCCTACTGTAGTTTCCCCTTCTTCCTCTCCTCCAAGTTCCTCCCTCCCACCTCTGATCTGGACTCCCCTATCTATCCACTCCTCCCTTGTTTTTAGTCAAAAAAAAAAAAAAAAAAAAAAAAAAAAAAAAAAAAAAAAGGGCAGACCTCCCATGGATATTGACAAAACATGGCTCATCAATTTACCTATGACTAAGCACTTCCCCATATATTAAGGCTGGGCAAGGGAACTGAGTATGAGGAGTAGGGTCCCAAAGTCAGAAAAGAGTCAGGGACAGCCCCTACTCCCACTGTTAGAAGTTCTACAAAAAGACCAAGCTACACAACTGTCAGATATATGCAGAGGGCTTAGAACAGTCCCATGCAGGCTCACTGGTTGTCAGTTCAGTCTCTGTGAGCTCCTATGAGTTAAGGTTGGTTGATTCTGTGGGTTTTCTTGTGGTGTCCTTGACCCCTCTGGCTCCTACAGTCCTTTCTCCCTGTCTTCTGCAGGATTCCCCAAATTCTGTGTAATATTTAGCTGTGGATCTTCCCATTTCCATCAGTTGCTGGATGAAGCCTCTCTGCTGACTATTGGGCTAGGCACCAGTCAATGAGTATAGCAGTATATCATTAGACATCATTACACTGACATTTTCCCCTCTCTAGTTGTGTTCAGTTACTTCTATTCAGGTCTCTGGGCCTTCAGCCTCAGGGTCCTGGCACCTTAGGAAGTGTCATTGCTGGGCTCACTCTCATGTCATGGGTCTCAGGAGTGGGTGGGTAGGGGTGTCCTGAAAGAGCTGAATGGAAAGGTATTCATTTCAGGGTCAGATAGAAACTTGGAGCAAGGCAAACTCCAAGGAATCTACAAGCAAAAGGGGATACATAGCCTGAACTGGCCATCTCCTGTGACCAGGCAAGGCTACCAATGGAGGGATTGGGACACCAACCCAGCTACAGTCTGTCAGGCCTATGGGATGTACTGGGGGTAAAGGTGATGCAGAGACTGTGGGAGTGGCCAACCAATGACTGGTCCAGAAATACTTTCCTTGATCTTTCTCTTCTGAAATCTGTAACTGTAACTCAGCACTGACTGGTCTTAACTCCCCTTAGGATGGGGGTTAAGTTGCTTTATTTTTTTCCGTTAGCCAACATTTTCTGTCATGGCATTTCTTATCCACCTCTCTCTGCCCCAAGCTACATCAATAGGTGTAATAGTCAAAGAAGTGTCAGAGTGAGTTCTTTTTTTCTTTTACTGAGAAAATGTGCAAGATATACAAGATATCAGTGGCCATCTTCAAAAATTTGCATATTAAAAGTGGTTCAATTTGTTTTTATGTGTGTGTGAATGTATGGATTCAGTTTTGGAGTCAAACATAGCCTTCGTAGGTAGAGAGCTGGATCCTTTATCATTTACTTTTGGATGCTAAATGTGTGTCTTTGGCAGACAGAAGTTGTTGACAGATTGCTGGAAAGGCAGCCAGAGATGACAGAAGTGTGAAATAAACGGTCTCGGGGGCTGAACATTGATCTTGTGAATGCACCCTTCTTTTACACTGATCGTTATCTATGGGACAATAAGCTGATTTGTCTCTGGTCTTGCTCTTCATTCCAACACATAGGGATTGTTGGTACTAGTGATGGGAAACAAGAAAATAATTTTATTTTAATCATTGGACTGAGAGAGTTGTGACTTTCATGTCTGAATAAATGGACTTTATCCCCCTGATCCTCTTGTTGGCTTCCAGAAAGCCCTCACCTTCTATACTAAGCTTGATTTGTTCATTTCTTTTATAAGTTCAGTGATGCTCTTCCTCTGGGGTGCATAATGAGTGGCTGACATAACTTGTCATAAAAATCTCTTTCAAATCTCTGTAGGATTTGTCTCTTAAGTGAAACAAGTAGGGTGCCATTTCATAAACTTCACTTGTAGATTTCATTTTTAAAAGTTGGCCTCGTGTAGTACACACTGAGCCATACAAAGCTTTTCTATCTCTCTTATGATTAAATAGGTAATTATAAACACACAGTGCATTTTGTACCTCAAGGACATCTTTTCCTCATTCTGGTCTTCTCATTAGATTAGCTCTCCTTTCTGGAATCAGCTGGTGTTTCTTGTTGCTCGTGTATCTTTGCAGAATTAGCCCACATTTATAAAATCAAAGAATATCTGTTTCCAACTCATGCACAAACACTCATCATAGTGTGCATGTTGACAGAACTTGCCATTTGTAATTAACATAACACATGTCATTTTTCAAGTAAGCATTCCAGCAACTCCTCTTTCACCCTGACTTTCCCATTTAGGTCTATTTTTTTTTTTTTTTTATCATTTAAAGCTATAGTTTCATATTTTTCCTCAGGTAATCTGCAACCTTGATGAGGTAACACATTAAACTTCCCAAGTAACTTAAACTTAGGATGAGTTGGTTTACTGATAAATCAGATCATTATTTTTTTCTCATCTGTTTGTGGGAAAAAGGACTGATATTAGTCTTTGGGAGAGAAAGATTGCTGGGACCGGGTGAGAAGTACTCAGAGGAAATTTGCCTGTGTTTCTAATTTACAGGGTTCCCTTACAAAATGTAGAGAACTCAGGGAAATGAGGTCAATAAAAAGCAGAGGGATCAACGAGAGCTGACTGGAACTCACATAGCAATACCAATATGGTTGGCAAGGATGAACATAGTCTAGCCTTGGGAAAGAAGGATTGTCTTATAAATGCTGTTAAATGTGGTTGTAAAATGAAAAATATGAGGTGATTTCCTCTTTGAAGATCACAGATGTTGTCAACAGTTCAGCTGAAAGGATGTTTGCTTATTGCATCATTAGATGAAAGAGTGAAATATTTAACAATGGAAAGGAGATGAAGACGAGGGCTTATCTATATCTTACCTCAATCTTAGTTCAAATGTTTTGAAAATTTCATACCTGAGTACTGTATTTATATAATTTTTATTTATCCTTTCTCTCCCTGCTCCAACTCCCCTGTGTACTTCCGTTCTCTTTGAAAACATGACCTTTTCTTTTTTAAATTTTCTTTTATTTATTTTTTTTGTGTCTTTTACATCATGCATCTTGATCCCATTGATTTCCACATCCCTTAGTATCAGCCTTCTGCCCTTGCACCCCTACCAAAAATAAATTTAAGAGAAGGGAAAAAGAAAATATAAACAGGGTAAATCTCATCATAGACGCGGTAGTGTAACATGGCGAGTCCCGTGGTAAACCCTTTTGTCCATATATTTTTACTTGCAATTGTCCATTGCAAAGAGTCTTTGGATATGAGGGTAATCTGGATATGTGGCATCTATCACCCCATAGATCATCAGGGTGGATTGGGCTGATCTGGCTGGCGAGGCAGGTGTCCCCTTCCTCTATTACTACTCTATGTGTGTCCCTCCTGAAGTTGTAGAAGAGGACAACGTTCCCCAAGTAGGGGAGGACTGGTCAAGGGTATATGAGTAGCTGCTGCACTCCCTTCCTAGAACCTTCAAACAAGCTCTCAAGATGACCTCTTCTTTAATTAGTGTCATTAAACACACCCACACCCACACCCACCCACACACACACACACACACACACACACACACACACACACACACTGTTTGGAGAAAACTGATATAAATTCAGGTTATATTCTCACATTGAAAGGTGGGGAGACAAGATCTACAGAAGATCTTGTTTCCTAAGCAATAAGGCTGGATTTGTGCTATAGTGTTAAGTGAAAAGCAATGAGCATGCAGAATATTGCTCAATGTTGATGACATACAATTACTATCAGTACACTTATAAAGAGATGTATTTAGAAAAATATACTTATATGAAATAAATCAGACTGTGGGAAACTTTGATATCCCCTTTGCTTGCCCACTATTTTCTAATTTTTTCCAGTAAATGTGTCCATAAAGGTATAGAAAGTAATTTACATAGTTGGTTTCCACTCTACTCCAACCTTTTCTGTTTTGCTGAATGTCCTGCTTAGATACTTTACA